GATACGACGGCAGTGTGTTTGGTTTGGTTTGGTTTTTGGTATAAAGGAACCAACCCTGTCAGCGGTTTTCTTCTACATAGCCTTATTTCACATGCATCTTTCTTTAAGTAAAATTTTTTTAAAAAAAGTTTTTGTAAGATTATGAAAACTAGCAAGTTTTTATTATAATAGAATTACATCATGCAGAGCTGAGTGGTATGGTATTTATATTTAAATTAACAATTTTAAAAATCTGTGATGTACATATTCACCAACTTCATTAGAATGGTAAGGCTCAAAATCATTCCCGTTTCACTCCTTTCTCTCTCTGTCTTCTCTTTATTTTCCCCTGTGCCTTCTTTCCATTTACATTGGAAAATAATGTTTTTGTCAGCTGGCCTCCGTTTCGTTGATGGGCGTGTAATCCTCCTAGCTGGGAGGTTTTCCTCTTGCTGGGTTACAGATTTCTTGCCTTGCTAGGTTTCTAATGGAGTGTAGTGTGCTGAGTACTCACCGTGGCTTCGGAACCTTTCCTGTTGTTTTAGTGCCCTAACCCGTTCCTTCTCTGCTCTTGCTTTACCTCAGCCACACCGTGTTACCATATGTGCCTCTCCCAGGCATGGAAGCTGCGTATAGCACCAGAGGCAGTCAGATGAGGTAAGCCTCCTGTGGGGCCTGGCCCGTGAGGGCTCTCCCAGTGTTGACGTGCAAGAGGGAGAGCAGATAGTGTGGGTAGGGATGCCACAACTCTGACCCCTTGTCCTCATTTGGAACCTGACCTACATCTCCCACATGAACATCTATGTGATTCAGACGTGTTCATTACAGTTAGGGACTAGGGATGTGTGATCAATACTATTTATGAAAAATAGTCAAAATCACCAGTCCCTTCAGTGTTCCTGAAGTCCCCTTACGTCTTGGTCCTTTAGCCAGCTTCATTCTTTGAAATGGGATTGAGCTCTTCTGAGCAGTATTTAATTGTTTGGTTCAGGAAATGTTTTCCTCCCCGCAAAAAAGCTGTTCCTTTTTACATTTTATATTTTTCCTTATACAGCTGCTCTATACCAGTGAAATGAGTCGACCACCTTCTTGTGTACCAGTCGTGGGAACTGATTGTTTCCATTATGTATGTAGACCCAGAAGTGAAAACAGTTTAACTGGAGATGCCAGCTCTGAAAAAGGGGGTGGTCTTTAGCCCTAGTCTGAATGGATAAACAAGTTGAATGTACCAGGCATAGAAAGTAGACACCTCTCATATTTTTCTTCTCTGTCTTTCTCTCCGTGGTGCCAGGCTAGAGCCTCCATTCTCTGCCTTGGTGCCAAAGTCTTGCTTGGTAACAGAAACAGCTGTCAGCAAGCTCCTGCTTTCAGCCTCTGAGTTCCAGGTTCCTGGATTTGATGAGTTGGATGGCGTGACAACAGTGTGCCCCCGACCACAGAGCAGGCCTCCCGAACAGAAAGAGGTAACTGCGAAATGCCAGCGGGGTAATGGGACTGTGGCACTGGCAGTGTCCATGATAGGCACAGACTAGCCCTTGAGTGTCTTTACCTGTAGCTTCAGCTGAGTCCTGGAAAGGACCAAGCGAGGAGTGTTTCTGTTTGGCCACTAAAGGATACCCTGGATTTCGTCACCTTTATTCTTGAAGAGAGCTTTTAACTGTGTAGAGAGTCGGACCAAAGAGTTGCCTCCGTGCATTCAGATGAGTCAATGATGACGGTCTTCATTTTCGCAACATCTGCTGTCGCCAACAGTTGCAGACTTTCATGCTGATAATCTCAGTATCTGAACTGAATGTACGATTCTGTTGTAGTTATCTAAAGAGGAGTAGTTGCTGGAAATACAGTCGGCAGGAGGATGGGGAGCTTTATTGTATTCTACTTAATAGAATCTTTTATAAACTGAGGCAGTAATGGCTTGAGTGTCAAGAAAGGAGACCTGACATATTTTAAATGTCTTATAACTTGGAAATCCTTCTTCTTAACCCTTAAAAATAGGATGAGCCAGAGAAGAGGCCAAAGAAAGTCTCACAGATTCGCATCCGGAAAACCATTCCTAAGCCAGACCCTAACCTTACCCCCATGGGCCTCCCTCGTCCCAAAAGGTGAGCTCCTTCTCCAATACAATCTAATTTCACTTTTCTGGAAAATGATTTGGCCGAATATAATGACCAT